ATTGTCTTAAGGTGATTTTAAAAAGACAAAAAAACCCCAAGCATGACATAATCCTTGGCATTTTCTCTTTTCCAGAAAGGAAAGCCAACAGCCAAAAAAGCTAAAGGCAAAGTGTTGGCCTATATTGCTTGCTCCAGTGTGTACTTGCCCTAAATATACACACACACACACACACACACATATAATCTACTGCACTACCTTACAGCATGCTTTCTCTAGTAAGACGTCTGTATATGAAGGTGAGATGGTGGAATCTGTCCTCTGCTTCCATGGTGCTTTTCTATGGTGCCGAGGGATCCCTTGTGAAGGAGAACGCATCTCAGTACCGTGGGAAAAGACTCTTCCACAGCACGTTTCCTGCCCAGCCTTGCTCCTCTACTGTGCTGAGTACAGTAATTGGCCTGGGAAGGCCTGTCCCCCCGGCAGAGGAGATAGGGATGGTTTAGTGCTGAGATCAGCAGTGGTTTCTACAGCCTCCCCCCACGTTACATTTGCCAATACATGGTTGGCTGCATTCCCTACCAAAGCCTGCATCCTTCTGAGGCTGTGGGATGAATGACATCCTGAGACACTTAAGTATCTCAACAAACACAATGTACAGTATTTTTCAGAAAAGAAAATCGAGTCTCTGAACACATAGCATGTTCAGAACAAGTTGATGACGGGGTCAGAGTGTGTTCCTTTTTGCCAGTGTTAAAAAAAACTCAGTTTGGTAGGATATAGTTATTTACCATCTATGCGTACACAAGCTGCTTAGAAGTGTTCTGAAGTCTGCAAAAAAAAAATGGTGTAGGAAGTAGTGTAGGCATGACACTATCCCACAGCAGTTTCTTTTCTTGCTAAGACGACTTCCGTCCTTCATGGAATAAATAGAGATGAGTGCTTCTTTGGCAGCAGCCCAGTTTGCTTCATTTGTTCTTCTGGGTGAACATTTTTCTCTTCCCACACTCTTTTAACCTCTTCTCTCTGTTTTATTATCGCAATTTCAAGTCACTGCATGGAAATCCAGGAGGAACGTTAGTTGCAGATTCAGCGGAAAGCTTTCTTTTGGCAAAAGCTAACTTTAAGGTAAAACAGTTCTCAATATGGCAATGATTAACACAGCTGTGTTGACATGCTAAAAAGCTATATCTATTTTGTCCTGTGGGTTGAAGTTACGAAGTTTTAAGATTAAATAATTTTAAAACCGTTGATGGAAAATTAAGGGTGAAACTAAATGCTTTTCAGGAACCACCTGAAAGCTTCAGCTTTGCTCTCAAGTTTCTGAATGAGGTTTTAGTGGACTTTCTAACTAGTAATAAAACAGCAGTCCTATCCAGAAATAGCCATCACCTCTTCCATGTGAAGAGCTACTCGCTACACCATGCTGCCGTTAGTGCATTTAAAGGTCTAAAGAATGTGGTAATTGGAAGTTGGATAAATTGAGATTGGTAAAACTTGTACTTAATAAACACAGGGATTATTTTGAGCCTGTGTGTATTCAGAATTAACTTTCTAAACCTGTTCTGCCAGGACTTCATGTGCCAAATAACCTTCATGGCAGGGGGGCATGGTGGTGAGGAAGGGTCCCTAAGCCAAAACATTCCTCTCTATGGTCAAGTGACGAACAAACAGCACTGAAGGCAGTCCTAAACCTTGACACTTAATGTGAATGCAACCCCGTGTCTACTTCCTGCATTACAATGCATTGTGGCTTTTTTTTAGGCTTTCCCTTCTAAGGAAATGTCCTCAAATCGCTTATTTTTGTGACTACATATGTAGGATGGGATGGAGTATATGTCCCTTAAGTGCTGTTTCGGCAGCTAAAATTAGCCTTCCTGGACCAGAGCCCACAGATATAGCCAGGTAACTAATGATGTGGATCGCAGTTCGGAACTTGCAAGCTAAAAGCAGCTGTCTACTGGATAAAAAAATCTCCATACAAGGCTGTGTATTGGTTCAGTTGATCCACAGTAACATAAGGCATGGTCTCGGAGACCAAGGATTGTGCTAACTGAAAGCTGATCTACATATACGTCCTTAAGTATAAGATCAGCACCTATGGGTACCCTCATACCATGTGGAAGAGCTAACCAGCCCCGTGGTATTTTTGCAGGGGATGTTTTTGCCATGCCCTGTGTTTCTTACTGTGATGGTGCCCCTGTCTGTGCATGGGGACCTAGATGTTTTCTGCCCCTGTTTTTGGCTTCTTACTCCTGTTGAGAGAGAAAATACCATGAATCCTGGCAACCGTGCTGGAGTTGAGAAAGGCTGTTAACACCGCAGCATGCTGTTGAGCACTGTCCCTGCACAAGACCGGGTGTATTCAGGTGTCGCGGTGCCTTTCCAAGCGAGCGATGCTGCTCATGGCTACTTCCCTGCGTACTGCTATTAACTTTTATTTTGAAAGCGCTTCCCAACGCTGTAGCTTCGTCTCCTGCCAGTCTGGCTGATACCGCTTGGATTTACGCTCATTTTCAGGGACTGCTCTGTCTCCGCTTCTGCCATTAGTGTCAGCACAGTGGTAAAATGTTGCTCCTTCAAGTTGTCTCCATTTTCCTGTAAGGGCAGTTCATGCATCATTTGCTATAAAGGTTCTGATAGCTCAGCAAATGTTTGAAGACGAATTGATGCTCTTTTGTGGCAAAAGGCCCAGTGCATAATTTTACATTTACTTGGGATAACGTGGCCTTGGATAACGGAGTCCCAGATTTACTGTTGCAGGATAGAATGTCTGAGGGTTTATCCAGCCTCAGCCCCCCGCCCCCTTTTTTAAATACTACCATTTAATCCTGACAAGCAGGCACAGGCATATCTTTGGTTGCAACCAGGCTCTCACTGCCAGCCAGTCCCTGGGTCCTAAACTGACTCATCAGTCAGAAAGATTAATAGCTGCTCTGCTGGATGATTTCACTTGTTGTCATGGCACATATCTATTAATGGAAAACAAATATTCTCTGGAAAATGAAACACAGATCGTGGTGTGGTGGCCAGCCAAGTCCTTTTGGCCAGATGCATAAATTTAAGCGTATATCAAGTGTCCCTTCAAAGGTTGCTTGCTGCATGGCAGTCTTCAATTATTTACTTCCTTTCTTCTTTTTAGCATTTCCTTTTTTTCCTTTCAGTGGGGTCTGTTCCCCTACATCTGGAGCTGCAGCATGAAGTTTTTGCTGATAAGAAGTTGCTAGGAAGATGTGTTTTAGTTAGGTTCATCTTCCTGGTGGTAATGCCTTTTAGCAAGTGCAGGAGGGTTGAGGGTGTGAAGAAAGAAGTGCAGGCAAGCCTTGCGTTGCAGCAGCCTGACGTGTTTAAAAAATAAAGAATACCCCCGAGGAGCTTTGGTACGCCAAATGTGTTAGTTAAATTAGTATTGAGTGCTCGTACGTGGCGAGCCTTCAGAAGTGGGAGAACGTGGGGCTCCGAGCGCGGCTTCCCTCCCGAAGGCCCCTTTCTGCTCAGGAGCTCCAACGGCGCACGCACCATCTGGCACCGTCATGGGAAAGGGGGAGAGGGCTGACTCCCCTCCACCCCCACCCTGCGCTTAAAAATCCAAAAGTTCACTTTCCACAGCAGGACGGAGTTTCTGCTGTTCAGTTTGGGAAAGCAGCACCTATAAGCCCCCCCCCCGCCCCAGTGCTCTTGGTGGGCTTCGGGTGGGCTTCTTAAAGCTGGGGAAGCGAAGGGCACGCGGCTGCATGGAATATCTGCCCTGCAGCGGTTAGGTTTAACTTGCGTGGGTCTCGGTACGTATGGCGGTGGGACCCCCCCCAGTCTGTACACGCTGAAGTTTGCCTGGCTGGGAAGCACCTGGTGAGGCTCGTATAGTTTGCCAGGGTAGTAACTCAGCAGGGAGTACCTATGGAGCAGACCGGGGGGGAAAGAAAGGGAAGAAAAGCCTACGAAGAGCAAGTTACTACCAGACCCTGTTAGAAACAGTCACCAGTTTTGTTGAGAATCTTACTTTAATCACAGCATTCTTTGTTTAATTTCTTTGACCAGGAGGAAGTTACTGTTTCAATCGGGAGGAAGCGTATAAATGTTCTGTAAGGAGTTTCTGCACGGGGAGGAAAAGAGATACTGGCTGACAAAAACCCCAAAGCTTTGTTTTGGGTTTGCTGATACCTATCTATGTCTGCTTTCCCAGAAATAGGGGAATAGCATGTGACTTAGGCCCTATCCAGATATTTAAGTCTTTTCTAATAAGTTGGCATTTGTCACCACTACCAAGGATTTAGCTAAAAAAGCTTATGGGTAAAATACTTCATTCATTCATGTGGGAAAGCGTGGCTGGATTTGGTGTTAGAATGGATTTTAATTTTTTTTTCTAATTTTATTTAACAAAATGGTTTTGCTTTTTTTGTTTTGGTCAGGATTTTCTGAATAAAAAGAAGTTGGAATGGAGTTAAACACTTATTGCTTCCCTTTCCTCCAAGGACCATCTGACTAGAAATAGGTATAACACAATAACTCAGATTGTGATGGCTTCAAGCCAGTGCATCTGTAGCATCTGTGTGTGGTGTACCTATATATGTGGATGGTATATGTAGGGGTTTAGCATTTATTTTAAGTCTACCTTGAGCAGAAGCATTGCTTGGGGGTTGATTTTTTTTAAATTAATCTCATGCCTATATAATAAATTCTGCCTCCTTTCAAACCCACTCATGCGCTTAGACTTCTAATGAATAAGCCTGCATATTTATTCCTGATGATTAAAGAACTGTACAGATAAAGGCAGCTGGCAGAACTATTTTTTTTTTTCTTTAAATCTGCTGACCTCTAATGAGGAGTAAAGAGGAAACTCTCTCTGATTCACTTAGGCTGTTTGCAGACTGGGACAAACAAAGTGGCTTAGCTGTTCACTGCGTAGGGACAGAACGTGGTTTCATTGAGTGGGGTGCAGAGAGGGGAGAAAGTAGGGCTGAAAATATCTCAAAAATAAAAATATATATTTTTAAAATAATATATAAAACCCACGAAACAACTTGTTTTCAAGGTATGCCTTCAGTGCTGTCTTATTGCAGAGCCCTTCGACATCTGGGCCCTGCTTCACACCCCCTGCTGCGGCGGTGCTGTGGTCAGATGTGATGCCCGTCTCTATTTTCCACAGGCCCTGTTGCTGCTGGGCGGCATCGCTCTTTCCTGCCTCGCTCTGGACCTGCTCTTTCTCTTGTTCTACTCGTTTTGGCTGTGTTGCCGCCCCCGGGAGAGCGG